CCCATCACGCGGGCAGCGTTGCTGCTACGTTTGAGGAGGGGTGACAGGGACGGTGCTGCTTTTGTTGACATCCGTCCCTGCTGGGTTATTCCTGCTGATGCTGCGGCTCCAGTTACTGAAGAAAAAAAAAAAGGATGGACCGCCGTTGGAGGGTGCTAAGCACTTCCATTCTGGGGAAGGAGTGCACTGCGTATTGCTTAATTTCCTCATGTAATCTGCGTTCTATGCTTCTTTTTTTTTCTTTTCTCCCTGCATTTGGACTTTAATGCCACCCTTTGAAATGTGGTTCCTTTTTTTTTTTTTTTTTTTTTTTTGCCAGACCTCCACTCTGCTATTGGTTTAGTGCGATTTACACACTCAACGCAAGCGAAGGAATAAGGAACGGTATGGCGAAATTTTACGACCCATGTATTGTTGCAGTCGGTGTCTCCGGCTTTGTTGGTGTTGTCGCCGGTGCCTATGGGGCCCATGCACTCCATGGGCGATTGACGCCCAAACAACAGTCAGCCTGGACCACAGCCGTTAATATAAACCTTATCCACACCGCGGGCTGTTTATCCGTGCTGGCTCTGCGTGAGTGCGTTGACCCCAATGGCCCTGCCGCCAAACACCTTAACCGTGCGTTTCATCTTCTGCTTTTGGGCACCACTCTCTTCGCTGGCACCATCTACGCCACTTCTCTGGGTGTACCGGGCGGGGTGATAGGGCGGCTGACACCCGTTGGTGGTGTGACGCTGATGCTCGGATGGCTCACCGTTGCCCTCGCCGGCTTATAAAAACATTTTTCAATCTTGGTTCCATGTGTGAGGCGGGCGCAGTACGGCAGTGAAAATATACGCACATATCTCCAAATCTTTTTTTTTGTATAACATTTTCCCCGGTCCCTTTCCCGATGATATGGGAGCTTGTGAAAAGAATCTTCGCGAGAAGGCTGGCTACCCTAATGAATATATTGTGGTAAGATGAATACATATTTCTATGCGATTCTTTCCTGTTTTATTATTATTATTATTATTTTTTTTGGGAGAACGCATTTGAAGGAATGAGGGAATCCGATAACGGCAAGACGAATTTTATTTTTATTTTTATTTTTGCCATCCACCCTCTTTGATTCCGACCTTGCGGCGGGGTCTTTTGGCTGGAGGGCCCAAATGCTTCCAACTCGTAAGCAATAAATATCCCCAATCCGAACACACCGCACCGTGGCACGAGGGTGGCTACCCGAACATATAGATGCGGTTGGGACAAACATTGAGGATGTGGCGAGGCCGCTGCCTCTCCATGGCCCTCTTCTTTCCCGTCCTGTTTTATTTATACGTATCAGTTCAGGATCC